TGTCTTTGATCATTTTTCACAACAACTTGGTCTATTCAGTTGCTGGTTGAAGTTTCGTCCCTACAGGCATCACCAACCCAGCAGTCAGCGTTTTGTAATGACCCAAAATATCATTGAAATGATTATTGTTTTGTTAATTTACTGTTTTGAAATGTTTAAGTATTCAAAACACTTATATAATTTGTCTTAGGAGGAATTTTGGAAATTCAATGGTCTTTAGAAAAACTCATCAAAGATACCAGAATTATAATTTTGTACATCGTATTTGAAAAGTCCAAGGGAATATCAAAACTGTAAGTTCCTTTTAATATGGCAAAATCAAAAGCTTAAACACATATAACGAATGGAAAACAACTGTCATATTCCTGTCTTTGTACCGTCATATCCTTATGTAGAAAATGGTGGTTTAAACTTGGTTTTATAGTTAGCTTAACCTCTCACTTGTATGACAGTCGCATAGATTTCCATCATATTGACAACAATGTGTGAGCAAAACAAACAGATATAATAGATACAAACGTCAAACCTTCGGGTACAGCAGTCAATATTGTAATATTATCTTAATCACTATAAAAACAAACACCTGTTTCAACTGTTTGGAAACACCAAATGGCATATAGACAGAGTACATAATTTAAAATCAAAGACACGAACTAAAAATTGACCATAGCACAATAACACAATGGTGGGATGTATACGTACCGATCCAAGTCATAAGTATATAATCAAAAATGAATAAACAAGGTATTGGTATCTTCCAATGAACTTTTTTATAAACGAGACGTTCTTTGACATAACCTTAGGTTATCAACTTTCTGATCAGACACTGGTGACGTTTTATAAAGTCTGAGTAGGAGCTGCAAGCTCTTGAATAACGAATATTTTCGGAAATGTATATCCCATATGCAGGTGAAGTTGGCATATTGCTGCTAAGGTGGGGAAAATGTATAATTTCAAAATCAAAATCGTCTCGCTTGTCATAGGTTCTGGTATTGAGTTGATCACTTATGTCAAATTGGATGTATCAGTCTAAAAATGAGGCGGAAAAAATCCGTGTCTGTTGTTTCTTTAATTTCTAGTTCTGGAGATTATGTTAATGGAATCCTATCAGAAAAGTTTGGCTAGTTAATGGAAAGAACATCATCAATATATCTGAATGTGAAATTAAATGATCGGGCTTCTTTAATTTTCTTGTATTGACAAGTGTCTGAAGGACGGAGACTCCGACTCATATGAAATTAAGAAGAGGTCGGCAAGGAGAAGCGCACAGTTCGGTTCCATAGGAATGCTGACAACTTGCTGAAAAATTCTACCTCCAAATTCAACAAATATGATGTCAATACGAAATTCCACCATACTGATCACTTGTTCTTCTGTGTTGCATATTTACCTTTTAGTTCACTATTAACAAGATATGCCGAATGGTATCCCAAAGCAATAAATTTATAGCGTATACTGCCATTTATATATTGAAAATCATTGTGGATTATTTCTTTTAGACGATTTTTCACATTGGAAATGGTTGTATACAGGGTTGAAGTATCAAAAGTTTTGATAGAATAAGTTTCAGAGAAAGATCGACATGTAAAATTATCAAGAAATTCTTTAGAGTTTTTTAGAATCCACATATGGTTAATACCACTACACGAGTAAACAGTTTCACAGTATTTCTGAAGCCCCTTTTTCACTGCAGCAAGAATTTTTGTCAATCTTATGGACAATTCCATTGTAGAACATATAGATGAGCCGGCAATGTACCGTTGTTTGTACGAAATTTTGTGAAGCTTATGTATCTAATTCAAACAAGATGCTGTTCAATGTAATGTTCATTGAAGCCATAAAGGACTTATGATTCGTCAAATCTCATTCTTGTCAAATGATATGTATTTGTATGTAGTGTTCAGTGATTGCTCATTTATTCCTTATTCATTTACAAGACATTCATAGTAAGACGATTTACACACAAAACAATATTATTCGAAGCTTTGTCCGCAGGAACAACAACATATTTATCATGAAGAGATTAAAGACATTTCACATTTCTTTTTCTATGAAAACGGACTTTGGTCGATCATTCACACACTTATTCAACTTATAAATTCGACGTTTTATCAGAGACCTGATTGTTTTGACCCACTCTGACAATGTGTCAATTTCAACTTCTTCTCGTTTAGCCAATGCTCTGGCGTAGTCCTCAGTGAAATTCATAATTATTCTAAAGTTATGGTTCCAATTGATGTTGGGGTTCTCTGATCTTAGGACAATGAGATATCACCTTTTCGAGATGTTCATGTTGAATTATGTTTAGATCCCAAGTAATAACATGGCCAGAGGGACTGTAGATATAAGGCGAGTGGGAACAGTCACATGTTTGAGGGTTTTTAGGGTATTTCTTTTTTTCTAAATCAAGGTCCTGCAATGCTTGCTTATAGTTAAACACGTAAGATGCAATGGTTTAGGTGTAACTGTAGGACACAATAGGAACAGACTGATTTTGAAAATAAATTGGAATTTTAGATGTTACCTCTTCGTGACAAAGAACGTTGCTGATGTAGATAGCATTAATTCATTTATTAGTCAAATTAATAGAGAGGAATTTCCACTTTTCATCATGTTAAGGTTCCGATCTCACTGGTTTAAAAAGACGGAAAAGAGCTATATCACAAATTATACTGACCAGTCGTCTGAATGTTGGCGAATTGGATCTATGCATCCCTTATCAAGTGCATAATCAAACATTTAAGAAAATTTACAGGCAGTGAAAAGAGAATAGTTCTAATGTAATGTAACCCTATCGGATGATGAAGATGTGAAAGAAAGTCATCACAGCTGCCAGAGAGCGTTTTAGATTAGAAAAACTTTTGAGCAATAGGCCGATGTTAATGTTTTACCAATGACTACGCTGGGGTCTTAAGGTTGTATTAAATAAACTCATTATATTTACATCACTGGAGGCTAGACATGACAAATTTACTACTCTTTTGATGTTATCATTGCAACTATATGGCATTGCAGTACCTAGTTCCTTTATCAAGAAATTTCTCTATATTTTCAGAAAGGAGTACTCAGTACATATTGGTGTGATGATAATTTTTTTGATGATGTGTATTTTCATAGATAAAGAAGGACCTTGCTTAGTGTTCCATGTTAAGTTACTAGTGAAATCTGCCGAAGTGGTTAACAGTATATAATAGATGTCTTACATGTACTCTTCTTTCCTTTTTTATGTTTACAAGTAGACATCCTAGCCTTGTTTGTTCTTTGCACTATCATTATTAATCATGCATTAAGCTAGCAAGTTGATGATGCCCTCGGGGAATGATACACCAGCAGTAAAGTTTCTTCTAGGAAGAAACTGGACAGCGACTTGGTTATAGTATAAAGTAAAATTCAAAACGGAAAGTCCTTTATAAAATGGCAAAATCAAAGGTCAAACATATGTAACGAATGCAAAATCAAAAGCTCAAACATATATAACGAATGGAAAACAATTGTTATATTCCTGACTTGGTATGGATATTTCTTTATGTGGAAAATGGTTTTGTAGCTAGCTAAACCTCTCACTTGTATGACAGTAGCATATCATTGTTTTATAATGACAATAATGTGTGAGCAAAACAAACAGACATGATAGGTAAAAACGTAAAAAATTAGGGTACTGCAGTCAACATTCTAATATAATATTAATCAATATAAAAACAATTAACTGTTTCAATAAAGAAAGATAACAAGGCATATAGATTTTGAATTTGTCTTGCGTGTGTTTTAATTCTAGATGAGTGTTATGTAGAATATAATATCAGCCTAGAATCTATGATTTGTTTTTTACTACAACCCATTTACTCAGTCGACTCATTTTACACAAAGGCTACAGAAAACCGCACAACACAAGAATACCGATAATAAGTAGCTCAAAAGAGAAAAAAGTAACGTCATAAAATGATTAAGGCAAGAACAGAGTATGACATATGTTTTATAGAAATATCAAAAATCAAAGAAGACAGTTATAATCCTGGTACCGTTGATAACTATTTATCGAGATATATTGATCAATGAAATGTTGAAGGCAAAATACACCAAAATGGGGACATCACAGATGGTTGGCTTTCATATTTTTATCAACTTGCAAAAAGGAATCAAATCCAAATTATCACACAGAATATCTAGATTCAATAGAAAATAAGGCTAGAATAGTGGTCATATGCAAAGATTGTTTCAAACATAGTCATATAACAGACGAATGAGATTGAAGAAGCAGTATTATGTTGAAATAGGAATAACGCTGCTGACTATCCTGAAATAAATCATGAAATCATCTTCCATTTTCTTCTCTAGCATGTAAAGACTGTCGTTAAACTAAAACACACAACAACAAAACAGATCGGCAAAACAATGTTAAACATTTCCAGTAATCGATAATGCTATGTGTGACGCTTAAATACAAGTATAATGCATTATGCAGTTAACGTCTAGAAGATAGGTCGAAATTATCAAATTAATCCAGTCCTTTTTTTTTCTTCATTTTTGTCTACGAAATTATAAATCAATATCAATAAATGTGAAAAGATTATATTTTGGCAGTAAAACTACATAATTTACTACAGCCACTTTAAACAACTGAATTGTGTACATCATTGTATCCTTATACATGCTATATTAACTTGTTATATTAATATTTAAAACGAATAACCACTTGAAACTCTTTACGTTGATGGTGAAACTTCGAGCAAAGGTTATTGCTGTCATTTCTTTGTAATATATATATTACATGAGTATCAACACTAATTAGATATTACTTCCTTCGTGAATTGTATTTTAGGTAACCCTTGCATGTACTTTACGGATAATTTGAACCATTTTTCTTTTTCATTTTTGGAAGAAAAATAACAACAACAAAAATTTTCCCTACCTTGTGCCCCAATCCGCTTTATGTACGATCATATTATTTCCGTTTATTTTCAAAATAATGTTAAACTTGTGATTTCTACTTATAACAAGATGTAAAAGTTATAAACTTATCCAAAGAAAAATAATTATACTATTCATTAGTGAAAAACACAGCAATAAGTATTGCGGAGGTGGTATTGTTATATTTATATCGAGTAGTGCATGTAATAAACAAGAAAGGATAAAACGGGAATGCACGTTTTTATGTTAACATCGACGAACCTAACAAGATGTCAGGTATGATTCAATGGAGATATCTTTTTTTTTCTATATAATTCTTCTTTAGTAGTCTGTGTGGATAAACAGTCAATTGATCAATTCATTTGATCATATAGAACAAGTAGACGGGTTTTGTTTTACAGAAGGTAATCAAACGTTACAATGTCAATCTGCAATTGAGTACACTTTCAAACAAATATTGTTGTTTCAAATATTTTGTTTTTAGATTTAAAACAAAGTTTTGGCGAAGCCTAGTGTTTGTTCCATGGCCAATTATGAGAATTAAGAAAACAAATATACAATATGTTCAAATATTTCACTTGAAAGGCGAACTTTATGTTTCGATTCGGTTGGACCATTTTTTGTAAATGAAGGCTCTTGAACTGATTTGTTCTTGTTCTGTTTTTTCTTTAATGATAATAATCACGAGACAATTTATACCATACACAGGAGTTGGTAAATGATAAATATGTCCCGAAAAATAAATGATTCTGATTAAAAAGAAGCAAATTTATCATGAAGTAATTTTATCAGTAGATGTAAATTGAAATCCAATGTTGTTTTCATATATTGTATTCTCTGTTCCCATTCTTAAATTATGTCTTCATAATTTGATAATTATCTTTAATGTGTTTTTTTTTATCAATATAATCATAGATGCCGATTTAAATAAATCATGGCAATTGATTATATTTCAGTAATACATTAATTTACCAAATGTTTTAAATGGTGATAAAATCACCATTGTAAGCATGTTAGTATTAGGAATTTTAAAGTAAGGTACGGATGTTGTAATATGCAGTATGAAAGTCGCGTAGGAACCGGTGTTGTGTTTTTTTGTTTTGTTTTTTTTTCGTTTTTCAAAATGTGATCTTTTTCCCATATAACATGCTCAAAAATATTTGAAACCAAAATAACCATATTTTGGCAAATTACTTTAAAGAAGATATTGAGATATGAGTATTATCTTCAATGTTGATCATGTTGATATTTGATATTTTTGATAAGGTTTTTTATCTATTTAAATTGACAGACCTACTGTGCTAGAAATGATAAAGTAAGATTTATAAAAATATGTTTAAAAAGATTGCAAAACATATTGACATAATTAAGTTTAAATATCAATTCGAAATTTGTTATCATGAGCCTCTTCAACTTCGTACTTTATGATGACCTATTAACCGTTTAATTCGAGCGTTAGAGATGAGTCTACTTTAGACAAATAGCACTTGGCGAACAAATTAAAATTGTAGTATGTATTAGATACAATACAAAGGTAACAAAGAAACAGGCCGGTAACAACCGTTGCCGGATAGTTTTTCTGCACGAGTAGTCAGGTCAATGTCCGAGGCGATAGCCGAGGACCTTGACCTGACTACAAGTGCAGAAAAACTATACGGCAGTTTGTTTCCGGCCTGTTTTTTTGTTACCTTTGTTTTGTATCTGACTTGTACGACGTTTCAAGAAAGAAGTAGTACATTTTGCATTTAGAAGAGGTAGCAACATTAAATAGATAAGAAACGTAATTGGCCATATACCAGTTAATGCAAGTTACAGTTAAAACAAACTTTTTTTCATTTCCCTTCAGCCGAGAGATTTTTCTTAAGAAATTCAAGAATCTAATAATTTTATAAAAAGGACCATGTCATGTAAAAGATGAATGTTGTAAACATTTGAGACTTTTTAAAATGCAACTTTGCAAGTAAGTTATGCATGAAAAAGTTTCCAGAAGTACATGTAAGCAAGCTAACATTTGATTTTTATTTGGGGGGAAACGGAAAGGGGGGGAGGGTAAAATAAAATTTAGAATAAACAGGCTTGATCCTTTTTGTCGAAAAAAAATGCAGGATGTGCCATTCCATTCCCCCTTTAAAAAATAATAAAAATCGTACATTTGCTTCCAAATACATGAATTCAATATATATGAATTCAATAACAATATAAATGCATAAAAAAAAAGAATTTCCTATTTCATTAGTGAATGAAATGTTATTAAAATGGATTTGTCTTGTTATTAGATATATATAGGCATATATTTTGGATTTGTTTTAAAAATGTCATGATTGTAGGTTTTTATATATGTCTCTAATAGTGTTGGTCAGGATTTATTAAACACGTGTCACAATATGATCCAATCGCAGCTTACCGTCCAAAATTGGTGACATAAGTTGAATGATTTTCTTCAAGATTTGCTGCCTATTTGAACATGTATTACACGGACACTTTTTATCTATAGGATCAATCGTGCATTGGTGAGTTGATAGGGATTTTATCTTTTGATTAGATTTGATTTTTTATATATATTTCCTGTCTTTTTTATTGAAATATAAACGTCGGTACCAGCATTTCTTTACTTTCAGCATTGTCCAGAATACTATTCATGTCCATAAATTGAAAAAAAAATCTGAAAATCAGGAACCAGAACATTATTTTGTCAATATATTTTTTTCTCATAAAATTGGGGATCAGAATATTTTTTGGAAAAAACCATAACCCCCCCTTTTGAAGTTAAATGGTCAATCTCAGTGTACTGACATGAATAGTAATATACTGGAATTGTTTGGAAAAAAAAATAGTTATTGATGCCAACGTAAATATTTTAATAAAAAAAGACAGGAAATATGTCGGTGAAACAAAAAGTTCAAATCTAATTGAAATTTAAAGTGCCCATGAACTCACTGATCATGCACGAGTGATTCTATTCATAAAAAGTGTCCGTGTAACAACTAAAAAGTGTCCGTGTATCATCTAAAAAGTGTCCGTGTAACACCCGTTAATGTACTGTTTTTCTATAGCTCTGCTGGGGGCAAAGTCGTACAACTGTGATTAGTTTAGTCATAGGAAACATTTAAAACATAACAGATCAAATTCAATGTGATGTTTATTCATAAATAAATACATTTTTAATGGTTTCTTTAAAATTGCTTCCTAAAAAAATTTTTTTTGGGGATTTTTTCTTTATGTCATTAAATGGAAGTGATATCGGAATGATTGTTATAAATGCTCAAGGGTATTAAAAGACATTTTTCTAGGAAATATTTGTTTATTGTCCAAAATTTTTCATTTTCTCACTGATTTGTTTTTTAAAAAACACCTTGCGACGTATGGGAGCATTTTATTCGGAATGGAAAATTTCTGTTTGTGTATTTACAAATAAAACTGAAAAAAAAACATTTACGGAAAATCACATATAAGGCAATACGTGTCATTTTAAGTAGGTATTATGAGGCAATATATTCACACGTGGAGCAGGATTGTCTTACCTTTTCGGAGCGCAGGACATAACCTCCGGTTTTTTTGTGAGGTTCGTGTTGCTCAGTTTTTCTTTTCCTATGTAGTGTCTTTAGTTATAGATTTGTCTGTTTTATCGTGGTTTTTCTTTTTTTTTTCACTGACTTATACGTTTCTCTTCGACTGATTAGTTTTGAGTGTTCTTTTTGTCTTCCGCCTCCTTTTTAGATTTGAATAAGATACACATGATACAAATCATATCAATAAATCGAATTTAGTATATATTATTGCATTTATAATTCCTTTATTTTACTCGTCTCAGAAAATGATCAGAACTGTTTAAATATGTTAAAGTCTGAAGGAATCCTGTTTATTTATCTGTTGTAATTGGTTTTGATCTAGCATTCAGCTACTACGAGCTCTTTAAAATCTGTAGTATTTGTCATTTGTCTTTTTTACAATTATATCAAATCTCCTTATCTATATTAGTTTCAAAATAAGATACTATATTAACAAGCTTTCTACTATCAACAATCAACTAGCTGCTACTCAAACATTTTATGAATTTCATTATGTATTTGGATTGATGATGTTATCCACATTAGATAAATAGGGTACACGTTTCACTTTTATTAAAGGATGGATTTTGCTGACCTTTTTGTTTGGTTAGAATGTAATATGTTAAAGAGATGTTTTTGTTATTATCATTAATCATCACATAATGTCCATTTTGTAAATACAAAAATTATTAATATAAGGTTGTTATCTTGAACATATCCTCATTACAGGATTAATATCTAAAAAGAGGTAGTCTTGCTTAGTGAACTGTACCAAACAATCACAACATCATGTTAATCTACTTTCATTCCTTGACTTTAGCTTTATTAAATTTGAACATTTGTTATCACGTGTGGTAATCAAACTCAACAAAACCAATTCAAATATGCATTGAGTATCTAGCAGATGATGATGATGAAAAATGACTGCTTAACGTGTAACGACAAATTCATATGCTTATTCAGGACAATAAAATATTAATGTTATATGATTATTAACCCTGCTTTGTACTAACCGACAAGCTAAGCCGGATGTTTAACGTGCTAGTTCACAAGGTAACAGTCCGAAAACATGTCACCTTACCAGGACACATTATTTTGACTCCCAGCTGCCCTGTCTTTGATCTTACTCTTCAATGCTGCGTGCTTTTCGGACTAGCAGCAAATACCAATTTTAAAGTCTTTGTTTTGACCGGTCGGAGTTCGAACACACGACCTCTCGCACTCGAGGTGAACACGCTACCACGGGACCCCCGATACAATTGATAATGAAACGATGTAAAACAAATAATATAACTTTAATATATTATATCGTTGTTTAAAATTCAGATTATACGACATAGTCTACTAAACACTTAATTGAGACGATTTTATAAGTGTCAAGGAAGTGACACATATAACTATCTGTGTCATAGTTGATAAACCCAATAAACGTCTTTTTTGACTTATAAGGAGATTCTCATCTGATTGTTAAACATCTGTATTTACAAACGAAAACTGAAACAAACTATCAGAAACTGAAGTACGAGGACATTCATTATGTTTTAACGTAGGCATCACGTTACAATTTTATACATAAAATGCTTATAGCTTTTAAGACTTCAAGTGCATTAACAATTTTTTTACAATTTTTTTTCTATTTATCTATTTAAATAATTTTTTAAGCTCAATTCCCTGTAAGGGATACATTTCTGAAATGTTCAAGTATAAATTGAATTATCAATAAAGTCTAGTGAAAGTCGGGATATATATATATATGAACTAGTAGGGCCCTGAAATGTACTAAATTACTAGTAGGATCAATGATAATACTACAAACATAGTAAGTATAATTCAGTATTGTACTTGGTATATACATTTTTTTTTAAATTTTCCGGATGATACTGGATAATTAGGAAATTAAAATCAATGAACATGAAATGCAATTAACAACACTTCATAACAAGTAATGTTTCAATTTTTATCATGCTTGAAATAAGGTTCTTAGGGCCATTAAGGGTCAGTGGAATCAGGACAATGTAAGATTGCAAGATCATTTACTGAATATGATATTTTTGCAATAATGCCTACTCCATTTATCTTTCCGGAGCTCCCATGTTCAACTCGGTAGTTTGTTTTGTTCAATCGATGGTCTTCCGTTGATTTTTTTCTTTGGATCAATGCTTTGAAATCTGTCTTTCACCTTTTTCAACCATAACTATTTTTAGTTTAAATTTACTTTGTGTAACATTTTTCTAGCAACAACCACAGTCAGTCGTAAATGAATAATGCTTGAGTATAATCATTTTGTCAATGTTTTAAAGTAACTATGTAATTATCCTGTTGCAAATATTAAATGTGCCAAGAAAGCAGATAATAGAAATATATGTAATTGTGCTATTTGAAGATAAACATTTTTAACGCCAAACTGCAAAAGTATTAATAGGACACCAATGAAATTTTAAAAAGTTATTGTGCATAACAGGTAGAATTGCATATTAGTTTTTGTGAGTAATTACTAATGCTTTTTTGGGAAAACAATTTATTTTGCTGATAACTCACAAATTATGAGACGTATATTTATTGAAGGTAAAAACTCTAAAAGTATGGTCAGAAGAGCGATGAAGTTTTGCACAGTTCTTGGCAGAAGTTTACTTGTGTTTATAAATTGTTTGCGACAATAAAGTAAAACATTATAAGTGTTTGTTACAAATTTACAAATTCTAATAACATCCTTCCGTGCTAAGGTTTCAATAAAAACTGATATACAGAAATCATAGATTGATGCTTAAGACAAGATGAGAAAGTATCATATGATGAAGAACAGATAAACATGATATATAATGGAAACAGTAAACAAGAAAAGAAAAAACAAAACTTTCGTGTAAATAGAGTAAAACCTTGAATGTGTTTATTTTATAATTTCTCTGAACAGTGAAATGTTAAATGTGTAATCGATTTTATAATCCTTTTTTTTTTAAATATCACAACACTCTAGAAGTACCGGGTCTACATGTCTATGAAATCACTAAAGTAAAATAAAATTGTCATTGGAAGGTAAATTAATTTTTGAATATCAATTTTATGTGAACTTTAAATAAAAACGAATTATATTGGGAGAGTCCCATCACCTGACCTGTCACATTTAAACCAGGTAATACTTATTCAGTATCTCATTTTCTCCTCTTCCTTCCATGGTTATCTGTTTTATAATACCAAACTTCAACTTCAACTTTTTGCCCAGCAAATGTCGATATGGTCAAAATATTCAAAACTGTGCTGAATGATAGATGCTGGCATGCTCCTCAAGATATATTTATTATGCATTGTGTGAACAAAAATATTCCAGCTGAAATGAACAAAAAATGGAGGTAGAAAAAAAACCGGAATAAATAAGAGAGAAAAAGGAAATGAACAATTTCTTGGTATATCATCCCAATTTGTCAGGAGATAACCATTTACTTAAATATATTCTTTATACACACACATAGGCTTTTATAATATTGCAGATTCCTGGAGAGTTAAAATGAAACTTCTGAGTTTCCGTCTCTTTTTGTAGTATAAAAACGAAATTTTATCTGCATAACAATAGTTTGTGACCATTTCTGATTGTATGAGTCCTCTGTTCACCATACTTTAAACGTGTCATGGACTGGCATTCAAATTTATATATACCCGTATTTAGATTTCTGTAAAGTGAAGGACCGGTATCATTTTTGCCAAAATTTGATTTAAAATTTTCATAATAATTTTCAAAAGGCCATATTTTCGTTCTTGATTTTCAAATTAGACAAATCTCATCTAACGGTACTATATGACTTCAAAATTCCCATACTTTGGAATTATAAGTATGTCAAAACACAATGAAGAATGAAAATCTAAGCCGTAATTTACGATCCGAAATTTTCTATAACTAATAATATTTACAGTCAAACGGAAATGTTCCGTGACTAACATACGATCCGAAAAGTTCTGTAACTAAAAGTATCAATACACGACCCGGCATATTATGTAACGAATAAAATAAACACTCTATTCAAAATGTTCTATAACAAAAGGATGAATACAAGATCCGAAATATTTTGTAATCAATACTTTTAACACACGATACAAAATAATCTGTAACATACAGTAGTAACATAAGAAACGAGATGTACTTTAACCAACATTTTAAACATACAAAACGAAATGTTCTGTAACCAACACCCTTAACATACGTAAAGAAATGTTCTGTAATCAACATTATCTCATATGCAAATCGAATTGTTCTGTAACAAACACTAAAAACATACGAAACGAAATGTACTTTAACCAACATTATAAACATACAAAACGAAATATTCTGTAACCAACACTCTTAACATACGAATCGAAATGTTCTGTAACTAACACTATTACAATACAAAACGAAAAGGTATGGAATTAACTCTATAAGCATAAAGAATCGAATAGGTTTATGATCAACACTGTTAATATCTTTCGCCCCTCTTTTAATATACAAATCGAATTGTTCTGTAACGATGCATACTTCATTTCAGACGTAATCTATGTTTTAAACTTTAATATAAAAAAGAAATTGGACTGAAACTCAGATCACAACATAAAGAAAGCTTAATTTAGGAGTCATTACTTCAAATTAAATATGTGATATGCCAAACACAAGTTAGTTTGTATTACTAGTTAGATCAAAGATAATGCTCAGCAAAGATTCTAGCTTTCTGCCCAGAAAAGATAAAACAAATATAAAAAAAAGTTTTACGGCAATTTTTAACCCTTTGTAAACTTCTTATACAGAATCAGCAACAGAAAATGTTTCAACAGAACTGTACCAGTATCTATGTCAGAATATTGTTGGAACAGAAGATCACGTAAAAACAATCAGAATGATGAACACTGTCAGAGATAATTTACAAAGCGATAAGACAGTCACAATAATAACCAGTGGTAGTTTTGGAGAGGGGCTTCAGATGCGCGGTAGTGATTATGATGTTATGACGGTTTTAAAAAAAATGGAGGTCTGTGAAGACACTCCTATTTATTTTAATACTGACAAAGTATATTTTAAAATGGAAATGGTAGATACACAGACAGGTTTCACTAAGTTACGTCTAGTGCACTGTAAACGCCAGCATATCTTTGAAGACTGTGAAGTGATCGGTAGTGATTTTTACTTTTCAAACTCTTCATTTAAACAACATTTTATGACCAAGGCCGTGTCGACTGTGCATGGGCCATGTGTATCAGACAAAGATAAAACTCATGACTTTGCACACTGTTTACATAGTAAATTATGGATAGCTCCAGCAATGCAATGGGTAACACGATCAAATAATTCATGGCCGAGATACGATATTAAACAGACTATTGTAAAACACGGGGTTCTATTTGTACCTATTGGTGTGAAAGGATCTACGAAAGAGGAATTAGAATGGCGTATATCATTTTCCGTTGGGGAAAAACTTCTCATTCATACATTTACACATACACAATTACAATGTTATGCACTGTTGAAAATTCTTCTGAAAGACGTTATAACTTTAGACAGAGAATGTAAAGAATTGCTTTGTTCATATTTCATGAAGACAGTTTTATTTTGGATATGTGAAGAATTGCCATCATCAATATGGAAACCTGAAAACTTGATATCGTGTTTCATGAGATGTTTCAGGAGGCTTATATATTGTGTTGAATACACAATTTGTCCGCATTATTTCATTCCTGAAAATAATTTATTTGAGAAAAAGGTACAAGGACACGCACGAAAAACTCTCTTGAATAAGTTATATGTACTAAACAGTTATGGTTGGCAATGTATCTTATTGTCAGACCAAATCTCGAATTTCCATCAATTAGTTTTTGATATTAAGCAGGAGTCAAGTTTTGTTTATGCCAAAAGGGTTGAAAAATTAGTAAACTCATTTATGTCCTCCGCAGACGATTTTAGTGTGACTTATGATTTTCTTTTAGAAAAAGTGTTATACAAGGTTTTGTCCAGTAAGAGTTCAAAACTAAAATACCTGTACATATACTATATGTCAAAGTTTTGTTGCAAAAGTGAGCAATTACTACCATTTGAGGATGTGCCCGGTAATAAATCAGCTTATAAACAGTATCGTACTTGTATAAGTACTGTGCTATTGAACACACGTCATGACGCTGTATCTGGATGGCTGATGTTAGCTTCGTTTTTCTACAGACGAAAACAATACAATACAGCTCTTTACATTGTCCAGTATACCCTTTTAAAATGTTCACCGGAAAAACTTTATATGTTCATGAAATTTTCAGATATTCATTATGAGCTATTTAATTCACGTGTTATTAGAAAGATGATTACTGTTCAATTGTGGAGATTTTTTCGATTAGATGAGATCAGTTTTAAAGGAACTAGGTTAGTTCCAGATGAATTACACTTTCATATAAATGGTCTACCTCCAGTAGTTTATGCTCATTTTATATGTTTCCTATGTCATTTTCATCTGAAAAATAGAAGGCAAACCTGGAATTCTCTTCGGGATCTACAGTTGACTATAGAGGAAAACTTTTTTATCGCAATCCAGGCGTACAAGGCTTTATCTTACAACATCTTAGGTATATGTTTTCAATTGTTAGGGGACATAGAATCTGCAAGAAAAGCTTTTTTGCATTCTATAGAATTATTTTCAGATGAACTTAACGATGCATACAACTTACTGTTCTTGATAAGCTGAATGTGATTATTGTTATGTTTATTAATTGTCCTATTAGTCTTATGTTTTTATATAAAAATTGTTTTAAATAAATGCCTTATACAGT